CATATTTGCAACTATCTTTCGTGTCGCAAACGGATCCAGCTCGACGCAACTCTGAAAGCACAGTTGACGATAAAAACGATTTCCGGAACGCCCAATTAGATAAACTCCATGGAGGGCTCAGAGGCCCCTTTCACCGACGTCCACAGCCAAAGGCGGAAGAGTTTAGACAAAGTTGAAGTTCCATTTAAGTGGACGTGGCCCATGGCAGCAGTAGAAGATAATTTTTGCTTTTGTTGACCATTTCCTTGGCTGGCACATGACTCAGTCTCGTCCAAATATCTCGCCCATGGCATTTCGTCATGGCAATTTCGTACAAGCCCTATTTTCCCTACATTCGAGACCTCATACCTACATAGACCTTATACTTGGCGCATTCCGTTGATTTTTTGCCATCTTCGTCACTGATGCACTACTCCCCATCTACACTTCTACTTTTCAAGTCCACAAAGGGGGCCACAAAATAATTGTGAACCATGCCTTCAAGCCGTTGGAACACAGATGTGATCCTAAATCTTATTCCATTGAAAATGTAAATATGTAATTCTTTATTTTCTGTAAAAAACCTCAGTTACATCATGCAATCATCAAGCATAGACAAAACATGTACCAAATCGATGAATTTAACGCAACTGAGAAAAACAATCATATGACTATTTCTTACAACATCGGAGGTTAAGAGGGACACGAATCAACTCGAACCGCCAAAATTTAAGTGAAGGATTCTTGTAACAAAGGCGAGGATGCTCGTTCATGGAATCGCACTCGCCGAGTGACTGAATAATCAATAATTGTAGGGACTGTTGCCTTAATACAACTGGGAAATGTGGGAAAAAATTATCAACCGTAAACAATGACAGCAAGGGATCTTGAAATGGTATTATTTCACAAACAACAAAAAAAACAATGGCGTAATGTCGACAGTGTCAGTTATTATCCAAAGAGACGACAAAACCTACAAGATTCTCCAGCTTCTTATTCAACTACAACTGGAATGACCACATCCAAACCGTGGATCGAACGGACAGCAATTTTTCGAAAATACAGCTTCACTACAAGGGCACATGGGTAGTCCATGGTCAGTTGAAGGGTACGGAAACTTTTGACAGGGAGGGCGAGAGTAATGGAAGCCATGTCGATGTGGGGCTGAGTGGTTTCCATAGGAATCGCAACTGCTTGAGGAGGAACTAGACATGGAACGATTGTGATAATCATGGTTGTGGTGATGACGATGACGAATTGGTGACGGAAACAGTGCCTGTTCCTTCACAGGGTGAATTGGAGAATAGAGATCTACCAAATTCACCCAACTGAAAAACGCCACTTCTGCTATGTCTCGGTCAACTCGTATTCGTTCGCCGGTCATGTTATCCACCCAATAGATTTGATCCGGTGGAATTCCAAGTTCGTTCAGTTTTTCTTGAAAGCGTCGATACAGTTGGTCGTGGTTTCTGTATCCAATGGTGAATACGGTAGGATTCGTGAGATGTACCTTAACTGACAAGATCTTTTCCTTTTTGGAGGACGACTGCTTGGCGACTTTCTCGGCTTCAACGGATTGCACCAGGTTGCTCTCCTCAGGAGTTTTCGCAGTGTCAGCAGTCGAGTGCTCAGCCATAGTTTCCTTCGAGAGAAATGTATTTGTCAGAGGAACAAGAACACTTGGCAGTGGTACGATCTTTTGAAAACCGTTTGGGCGGAGACTGTCGTAACGGGCCTCGAATCGATTGCTATGCCACACTCCACCTGCAAAAGTGCAAAGGATTGTTTTCCGGTGTACAGACAACTTAAAACTTATACCTGACTTTTATTTCAAGTTAAAGTTGCGAATATGCCAGCTAAACAACAGAGATATTCATTTGAAATCGTTGGAACTAACAAGGAAGTCATCCTTCAACCGTCACTCAACCATCCTTGTTGAGAAAATGGTTTATTGATAAAACGTGTGCCGTCCTTACAAGAAAGCGTTATTTTAAACAGATGGACTACCAGATCATGAGTAATAGCGAGAGGAAAAGGATGATATTACAACATAAGTTCGACTTTCCGACAGTACTAGTATAAAAGATGAAGAGTAGAATGGCAGCAACCGGGAGAACCAGTGGTCGTAAAAGTTCGAGGGACTCAAGGTCTCAGTCAAAAACACCGGTTATAAAGATATGTAACAACCATGTTCATTACGAGTTGAAGTAAACAATAGTAGCCTGATGAAGCACGGTACTATTAAGGCTAAGAGAGATTGCAGTCATTTAAACCAGTAGAAGCAACTGTGGTACCTGGAGCACTCTTATTTTTTTTTATTGAACCTTGATCAGTTTCAGCCAATTAAGTCACTCGATTTGCCAAGTCAGCACATATTTTTCAGTTTTTATTTTTTTATATTTTTCTCCACAACACAAAAGAAGCACTAATTCGAACACTTTAACCTCAAATAACCAGTTAGAATAGTAAATTTGAAGCAATCACCAATGACCGCAGAAACATTGACAAGAGCAATAACAAGGAATATGAGCGCTGCATGGGCAGGCACTGGGGAACCTGGATAGGCAAAACGGCTTGGTGAATTCTGCACAACAAAAATGTTTGCATTTTGGTGGGTAATGGCACCTCTTGGATGGGTTCCCTGAGTGGGTACGATGTTCAAGATGGTGATCATGACGGGAACAGGGATCTTGATAAGAGACAAACCCACGCTGTCCAAGGGAACTATACTGCTTCTCGTCACGACAAAACATCTGCATACTGGCTGCTGCAGCATCTATCAGGGCATCGGCGTTGTTCATCTGAATCGGCTCACCAACGTCGTATTCCACCAGATAAATGTCGCTCGGAGAGAGGCCATTATCCCGCAATTTCCTCTTGAACTGCTTAAACAGATCGTGCTTGTCCTTGTAGCTGATATAGAAATGCGGCTTTTTGTCCAAGTGTAGCTTAAATGTGGTCGTCTTCAGCTCGGAGGGATTGTCTTGAACCATCGGTTCTGAAAAATAATCAATTTCAGTAGAGACAAATACTCCCACATAAATAGGCTATTCAGGCTATCAGGAAAGCAAAAAACCGACAAATTATGGACATTGCCCCGTGAAAGTGCAACAGATTGTCGCATTCTAACATTGAGAAGCAGGGGATTACAGTGATGCAGAGACTGCCGTAAGCCTTCAACCAGTTGTTGATGATGCTACTAGCTATGCTTACGAATCCACCTTTTTTGAAAAACAGAGCAAGAATCGATAATAGGTCTTTAATTATCTTCAGTATTCGTCTTTTTGATTTGAAAACATTGATGTTTAGGTCACATCAATATTTTCCAATCAAAAAGACAAATTACTGAAGCTAAACGAGAATTTGTTATCCTCTAGGCAGCTGCAACTTCGATAAAGCTTCAGCCTAATCTGTGAGTACCCTTTGAAAGAATGTTGAGACTAGTCGGTGGAACCAGATTAAGTCTTCTGCATAAACTTTCACGAAAGGAACCCGACTGAATAGAGCTGCCATGAATTTCGAAATCACAGACCTCAAAACTTCCCAAACATAATTAATTGTAAATAGAGATATTATTACTCACTCAGATATTTCAACAACCGAAACTGGCTTTTATTAATGACGCTTTCCGAAATTTGTGATCAGAACATTCTAGGACAGGTCATTGTTCTAAAACTCTCAACAAAACCCACCAAGAAAGGCTTAGGGGATTGTATTTTTCTGCCCTCCCCGTCTGTGTACATAAATGAGTCATGTAAAAATCGAAAGAGAACGTTGCTCATACGATAAATGTTCATATAAAAAAAACTACAGTAATCGTAAAAACGGTTCCTGGTAAGTGGAGGTTCAGCGAGAAGCCGTAAAGTTGATCGGACGGTGACATAACTCACAATAAGAGAAATCACTTCCCCTTCGAAATGAGGCCAAACTTCTTTTGAATAATGATAATTCTTTAGTTTCTCTAGTTTCCAAATAAAGAACAAATCATAACTATAGCGGTATGAAAGGTCTTTTCATAAACCTCCACAATACACAAATTCAAAAGCTGTTTCCGAAAAGTTTTTTTTTTCGCAAAACAGTGACATAAAACAGTGTAAGTGCTCGTACGTCATATCAAGAAACTCTTACAATTAAATGAAAATGAAGATTGTAATAGGAAATACAGATTCGGTGAAGTAAGAACTTAACAACACAACAGGAGTGAGCAATATGAAAAAAAATTGTAGATTGAATCTGTGCATCTACTCATGATATCTGAAAAGAGAAGTAACAGAAAGGCAATAAAAATGTGAAAAATAACCTACATACGATGATACTGTAGAAAAGATGAAGGGAAGGAACAACAGCAAATTTTAAATCTAAAACGAAACAAACTCTTTGGACGGATCAATATTTATGAAACCCAGGAACTCCTTGACAACAGTGTCCCATTCCACCTCCGAAGCCAATATAAGTACAACGACAGGGGCAGCCTCCAAAACAGGGATTCATCTGGCAAGGTGAACAATGTGGAGGACGATTTGGAATCATGGGGTATCTGGGACAGCAGTGATTCCAGTCGTCGTGAGAATATCCATGTGGATGATTTCGTGAAGGAGACGGATGACGACGAGGAGTGCCTGTGCTCGAGTTCGAGGAGCTACTCGAGGAGCGATATCCATCTTCCTTAGTCTGGAGATGTAACGCGAAGTCTTTCATGCTATGAGACTTGGAGGACGGTATGTCATAGGGGAGCTCCAGGGAGACATTTGCTTCAGCAGTGCTCTTACTGTACAAATATGCCCAAAAGGTTTGCTCGCACAGCAAAAACACATCATCGGCGTTCCTCACTGGCTCAGCTTTGATTTCTTCCGAATCGAGACGATACAACGAATCGAGGGGAATACTGAGCTCTTTCAACTTCTGACTGTATTTCTGGAATAGCTCCTCTTTGCTCTTAAACTTTATTGTAAACTGCGGCACGCTGCTACGATACAGCATACAACGGAAACTGTTGGGGCAGCCCTGGGAGCAACGACGGCTCCTTCTCTTCTTCTTCTGTCTTTTCTGGCAATCTTTTGACGGTGGATCACCACATGGAGCAGTGTAGAAATGAGCTACAGGTGCATCGTGGGTAAGTTCTCCCAGGTCCACATCATTTCTGATATGGCGACGCTCGCTGGTCGTTCCATCGATAAAGTACACTTCATCACGTGAAAGACCGTACCTTTTGAGCTTCTCTTCGAAGTCTCGGAATATTTGTTTATCTCTTGCTTTGGCATCTTTGATCTCATTATGGCGGTCGACGATGAAGCGAAGGGGATTATTGAGAAACAGCTTGATAGTGACGGAATTTCCCTGTTTCGCAGGTTGCTGGTCCTTGATTTCTTCAGACTTTGCAAGACCTTCCTTACCAGCGGATGGTTGTTCTTCTGTATGGGGTAGAGGTGTGAAAATATCCATCGCAAATACGAAAATAACACTTTCGTTGACGTGGGAACTCGACTTGAAATTCGCCTGGGAGGAGCCTAGGGTGCAAACTGGCGCCAGTCGATGCTGACTCAGATCAGTGATCCTCAAAGTGCAGATTGTTTCCTGCAACTGCAATGCAATAACTGCTCCCCGTCAACAGAAAACTTCACTAATGGGTGTGGCAGGCCAAATGAGACTTCATCAGATTCTTCCGAAACAGCGCTAAGTCTCTAGGAAACGTAGAAACACCATTAACTGTAGCGAGTCACGTGAACGACTGTAGCCGTGGTGAAAAAACATTTAACTAGGCCATTTTCAATCGTTCTGGGATGAAGGGTAAAGGAATGAGGTGAATAAATAAGAACTCATAGTAAACTATTGCGAAAATTAAGGAAAAAACATAGAACAAATTGTATTAATAAAGATCCAAGTAGAATCCAAGGAATAGCATGCTGAAAAAAAAAACAATGAAAAAAGCAATACCTTAAGCAGTCACCATCAAATCCATCTTCTAATGTCCTGTCAAGTCTCCCAAGTCCGAACCAGTCCAGGCAGGACTCATTCCATAATTGGAATCTATTCCGCGAAATAGCACGTTCGAACCTTTTGCAGAAGCATCACTGCCATGTTCCCTGAAGTGCCACTCTGTTATAGGTAAAACTGTGAAGTACGGCAGAAATAAATTTTCGCTCCAGAAAGTTTGTCGAGGAGGAAAAGAATATCAGGACGTAGTCTCACAAAGCTGGCGGTTTGTGGACAAAATTTGCCCTCGGATGTGACTCGAACCTGCATCTGTGCTTTCCGGGCACTGTGCAACAAAAGAACAATCTCAATTTCAATATCGTGCAATCTTAGGATGGAAAAGAATAATGGAAAAAGGAACGGTGTCGAGTTTGAAAAGATGCGTTTACGCAGTATTTTCTGCACAAATACGTAAATCAAAGTAAACTGTTAGCAACTTGAGAACACGTAAATTCACATAACTGCTAATTGAAGTACATTTGAAGAAAAACAATTGATTTTCGGGAAAAGGTGATTCATAGAACAAAGTAAGATGAGGTTTATACTCGATTTGCGACTTAAAAACGGCGAACTAATGGTGAGAGTACGATGCAGGAACATTTTCGANTCAACACTATGCACTCTCGAGGAAAATTATACATAGAAAGTGGTGGTTGGACCGAGTCGCTTGTATTATGAATTTAGCTGAGTGAAATGTATAGAAATGACATTGTACTATTTTAACGACGGCAAATGAGTAGAAATCACTTGGCCCTCCTTCCTCACAAAAAAAGAACAAAGTGGAATTGAATAAGCATTTCTACAGTTTCGATCATGAAAGTTCAGATATTTAGCATTTCAAGTGACTTGCAATTCATTGAAGGAGGCTATTGAAGCCAGTCAAAGTAACCTTGGGCTGTTCTTCAAACCCCACTTGAACATCTCCCTTTTCCAAAACTTATGAATCACCAACAGTGTTACTTTTCGAAATGTCTCCCAACCAAACGATAATATGCAAGCAAATAATGAAAAACGGAAGATAATCTTTGATGCGTGCACTTGACTGAACAACTGGGGCGCTGAATCAACGATATCGATCGGGAGAACCGCACCCAAGCACCGCCTACCAAGCGAGATGGGAAACCATCAGTACCTGCGTTCCGTCTGCGTTCATGGCTGAAAAACACGATACTGCCCCACAAGAGACAAGGACGGTCAACTTCAAGCTTTACCTCGATGGCGTCCCAATCAACATCGCGTACAGGAACAAGAACGATCTATATGA